AAATGGGTAAAATGGTCATCATATGTGACGTTAGCTTTCTTACATGAACACTGCTCAAACCAGCCTTCATACCCACATTGATAAAGGATTGTCTGAGGAGTCTCTGCGACCCAACACTATTTTTAGTTATGTTTATAGCTTATCACACCGACACTGCCTGGTTACACACTTACGAATTGCACATTATAAAAGGCTTAACTAGCTCCTTATGTTTGAATGTTGGTTATGAGTCTTAAACTCTGTAGTTGCGTAGGAAGGATTTGATGCACAAACAGTAATAGATTGATGATAGAGGTTTATTAAAACACCCACAGATAGCTTATGACACACACACGCACACACACACACTAGAAAATGTGAGTAACATAAATTATCAAGCAAGTCAAATGAATAATTATGTTTTTATTGCACAAATTATGCCATTTCCCCTAAACTAGCCAGGCTCTGAGGCGTGGGAAATCTATTAAGGTGATGCTATAGATCATCCCATCCACTGTGGCGTGTATATAGATCGGTCGGCTCATTTGAGGAATATTGAATCGGTTACAGCAAAGTAAGCCCCTGGATTGAGTCAAATGTAAAAATCCATGCATGTGTGAGGAGCTGTCAGCGTGTGCTGTAATGACAGATGGCGCTGGGTCTCTCTTTCAGCGAGAGGTGATAAAAAGTCAAATTATGAGTGCCGGGGAGGGACAAGCGAGTGTAGGTGGGGGAGCAGAGACAGAGAAAAGAGAATTGGACCAGATCCGTCAAATGATAAGGGCTATCAGTCAATCTGGAAACGCTTTGCACGATGGAAAGTGCTATTTCCTCCCAGTGCAGTTTGGAGTCAAGGGTCGGTGATGGGTCAAGAGTATGACCTCTGACCTCAGGCTGGTGAAGAGTGAGACAACACTCGGTCAGTTATTGATTCATGGTCTTCACAGTTTACTCATGTTATTATCTATTGGACATGATTGGATTCCAATTGTAATGATTTGCTGTACACAAAGAAGAGACGAGGACTTGATTAGACTTTACTAAAATACTTTTCAGTTGGAAATACCCTGTAAATATACATAAGAAATATACTCAATCTCATGTACTACTTTAAATAATGAATCTATTGTATAGGAATACAAGATTCCTTTCTTTTTTGTGGAGAACTGCCCAAACAAAAGGAGAATGAGGGACTGGAAAGCTTTATTGTTTTTTCTTTAAACAGTGAGAAACTTGCGATTAAGTAACAGAAACACCTCAGACACACATTAAATAGCATTTTAAAAATATTTAGTTCTGTAATTTGGGGGAATTTTATTTTTCTCTAGTTCTTCAGTCATGATAAATGATAAAAGTTTTGTGAGTCTGCAAAACAAAATCAACAGACACTGAATCTGTGACCTGTTTTAACAAATGAAAAATAACAAGTTCTTCAGAATAAATTTTCTTTTGCAGATTTCAATTCAAGATATCCCAGTGAAAGGTCTTTCCAGTGAGCTGCTGTTTATTTAAATCACAAGTTTGCAATGTTCACTAGTTCCCATCACATACTTCACACAACGATGCTCAAAGCTTATGTAAATTATACAATATTATAAACCAGTAGAATCTTCTGAAATAAAAATAATACTCTTACACACGATAAACAATATTCCAGATCCTAATATAGTTGGAATTTGCTCATAACAAGCGAAAATACTAATTCCACTCCTGGAAAGTCGGTGAAACTTTCTGTTAGCTTCCCACTGTGTCAGCACAGCACCGTCTCTCCCTCTCTGCTTTCTCTCTCAGGAACATCAAACGGAGCCTCGGACCCCCTCAGCAGGCCGACCCCCATGCTGACCCCCTCCACGCTTTGAGACTTACCCGCTCTGAGGTGTGAACTCCTGTCCCTCAGCTGATAGAGCCCCCCGATAAATTTTATAGTCCCCGTCCCCTCCCTGTTTATGACTCTGCAGTTTGATTATAGCAAAGGGGGCTCGGAGAGGTAAGAGAGGCACACAAACACACACACACTGACAGTGACTCACACACAAACACACACATGCATCAAAGCAGCTATGAGAGGAATGTGGACATTTGTTGTTTGTTTTATCATCCAGTACCAGCACTTATCTGCTTAATCATAAAGGATTGGCCTGGGAACGAGGCAGGAGGGACGCTGTGCTGGCCAAACAAACGACCCCCAACTCTGTAATAGAGGGACGAGCCAGATTCAGTGCAGTTACAGCAGCTTAATAGCTACATTGGAGTTTTATGTGAAGAGAGTGTAGGAGAACAGAACAGAAAGAGGCCGATGTGTCTGATGTTACTGTAAGGATGCATCTGAGTGATATATATGTTCCTTAGCATCACTGTTCAGACTATACTTTCCCTTTGGTTTTGCATATAGGTATCTAACTTATCATGGAATATATAGATACACAGTTAACTATATTTTAATACTTCACCAAGTATCACTGTTTCCATTTAACACATGGTTGAGATTTAGAGCAACTCCTAAAGTTTTTCCGCTTTTGTTTAATCTGCCAATTATTTTCTTGATTATCTATTAAAATGTGTGGTTTGTTAATCATCAGGAAATTGCAGAAATGATGGTTTCTTGCATGATCAGAGAGATGTTATATGTAAGCCAGTTTATTGTATATATTGCACTCATCTGTATTTCTCTTTCTATTTTTGCATGTATGCCTGAATGAACCATCCTTGATTTTTGTGTCTATTTGAATAAACCATGTGTCCTGCTTTGCTGCCAAAAACAAATTTCCTCATAAGTGGAAAATAAAGATTTCGATTCTCTGAGCAAAATATATTTCATCTTCAATGAAACAAAGGCGAGGTGAAGAAATTCTCACATTTGTTGTGCTCGAATCAAATATTCCCCCAATTTGTTACAGGGTTTTATTTCTGGAACTGTTTTATTCAGTCTCTGCAACATTTTGCCACTTTTTTAAAACAGTTTTGAGTCGGTGTGAAGAGTCAGATAGTGTGAAGACCTCTGTGCTTTGTTAAAATTGATTCTCAACTTAAAACAATTTGAGTCCAGTGAAGATTGTCTTAGTTGTTTTGTTACTGACACCAAAGAGGTTTATGTATTCACTACTTTGTGTTGGTTTCGTTTATTTGCTTGTTTGTCAGCAGGATTATGGAAAAACTTCCAAACAGATTTCCAAAAAACTTGGTGGAGGGACAGCACATGGGCCAAGAATGAACCCATTACATTTTGGCAATGATCTGTACAAAGAGGTGGATCCAGGAATTTCTTTGAAATTTTCTTTAACACTGTAGTGTTTTGACATTTTCACCAATTTCTTTGTGAGTAATTCTTGGATCTTTATGAAAAACATGACATATTTACTGAACTGATATATGTGAGTGTATTCACTTTCTTGAGTGTTGAGAGAGGTATGTGTTCTACTGTGTGCCATTCTAGTGTTAATATTTGCAGATGCACTTCATCTCCCTTAAATGTATTTTTCTTCGGAAAAAGTTGAGACTAGAATAATTTCTTTACATATACAGTTCAAATAATAACAAGTCCCACACCACTGCTCTATCACCGAGGCGACTGAACCGTAGTTACATTGTGTGTGAGATACACAACACTTTAATTAAGTCACAGGATCTCTCTCTCTCTCCACCCTTTTTTTGCGCCCTCTCTCTGCCCCTGTGAGTCAATCAGACTCTCTGCCCTTCGTTTCCCCTGTGTGGGAGGCCGCTGTGCAGGCCTGAGTAGCTGGGAAAGTCCCATGATTTATGGCCTTTTGCAGGCCTGATTGCCTTTCACCTCGCTGATGATAGAGCCAGAGGTAACGAGGAGTGGTCGCTCCAATCCACTCCTCTATATATGGCGAATCCAATTTCCATCATTTAGGATTTAAAGACACTTTGCAGCCTTCACCATCTGATTCTCGTGCTACTGGGAGACACAATTGTAAAGATTTATCAGGCTACTTCAATGTGTAATTGGGGATATTTTTTTTCACAGGTTGGGTGATTATCACGTGGATTAGATGTTAATGATTAGACAATCCACAGGGAGAGGGAGGCCTTTTATTGTCTGTCTCACATGGTAGACTTTCATTTCTTCATTCATTAATTTTTCCTCTTTAGCTCCATGGAGCCTTGTAAAACTATCGGATGCATTTGCACAAGCAAATTGAAAGCGGCTCTAACAGAAAAATGTGGGTCTCCCTTTTTTCCGTTCGTTTAGAGCTTATCATTTACCTCTTTGCCCTGATCAAGTGTCCCATAGTGCTGTTTCAACTACTATTATTCAAATGGCCCGTGTGCATAAAAACACACTCCTGCATGAGACCAAAGCTCACACTGACAGCTGAATCATTATGAGGTCCACTCTGAGGCTTTCTGCACTTGTTTCAGCCTCTATCGGGGGATCAAGCAGCTCTGACATATTAAAATCAGCCAACCTTGCACACGGAGAGGGACACACATGTGCACACAGCAGCAGCAGCAGGGCAGTAACTCAAGGCCAAAGGAGAAGGTTTATTTTTATCATGGGCAAAGGCTCCAAATCATGTTAGTATGAAGGGGGCTATATAAATGCAAATCCTATTGGAGAGCTATTAGTCCTGGAAAAGGTTTGTATGTAAATTCCCTATAGGACCACTGCAGATCACTCGGCCAGTGCAGATTAGTGGGGTTTGTGGCAAATGTGCTGCAAAAGACAAAATAGAAAAATGGATGGAAACTGCAATTGGCTTGTGGTAAAGCGTTGTGAACAAGGTGAGAAGTTGAGTAATTGAATGGCCAAGGTGTTTCTTTGTAGTTTGTTGCGTGTCGCGAGCGAGATGTGTTGGGTTTGTTATGCGTGCATGGGCATGTGTTCACGTTTTATGGTGACTTTGGATGCAGATTTTCTTTGACCAGAACAGAGGCACAGTGGGTTTTCTTCTTCCTCTTTTGTTTCTTTGAACGTCTGTTTCCTTCATTGCTTGTTCCTTGTAGAAGTCAAAATCAACAAAGTTTTAGACCTTTAAAAAGAGCTATGAGCAAACAAATGACTGTTGATTAATGTCTTTGTAGATGGTTTTTAATCCATTTCACAATGCTGTTGGCAGAAGAACATACAGTGTTGAGTTGAGAAATAGTTGGTGATTATGAATGAACAAATCAAATATGGCACAGGAAGCCACATCACTGACGGGAAGCAGATAATGTTAATAATTCAGCATTAGGCAGTGAGAGACAAAGCCAGCACAAGACCGCCCTCTAGCTTCAACTTGTGAGAATCACAGGCATGCAACTCTTACCTGTCTCCATACCTATATATTAAAAAACTCCACATTACAAACAATGCATGCAGAGCAGCAGAACTAAACATCATTTAAACAGTATTTACATTTCAAAGATGTGCATTGACAGGAATATTAAAAAAAACAATCTGTCAGCTTCTCGTCCTGATGTTAAAATAACTGCATGGGTCAAGTGTAAAGTGCAACTGCAATTTTGGGGATCCTTTGCTTCTTCAATCATTTCTTCCGAAACTTTATATTTCTGCAAACCCAGGTCATCCCATCCTGGAAGAAAGAAATCAATGTCAATTACAAATATGTCTAAAAAAGTTGTTACCTCCTCTTATGGTAAACTACTTTATTTATGACTTCATGCACTCCAATGGAAATCGAAGTGATTTCTCAACCTTACTGCGTAAACCTTAACAAGTCGATGGATGTTGTGTATTTACCTGAATTCCCTCAGCAGTGATTGCTGAGCAGGCCTGGACTTGCCACATGCGATCCCGGATCGTGTGCAGATTGAGACTCTCTGCCAGCTCAGAGGCCGGGGTGGCTGTCATCAGGTCCTGCTTGTTAGCAAAGATTAGCAGTGGCACGGCAGCAAGCATCTCCTCATCCAACAACTCAGCCAGCTCCTGCATGGAGGAGCAGACACACACGAGTAATCAGTGACATAATCAACGGTCTAACACTTGGATTGTACCTGATATCCTCAGAAAATACTCTCAAAATAGACTGTTATTGATTCTGTAAAAGTAATCACATTAGAAGTATTTCAATATCACATTTTCCTCTTAACAGAGAATGAAATCTCACCAAACTTGTCTCTTCAAACCTTTTCTTGTCCGAGCTGTCAATCACATAGATCTGCAGAAAATGCATTAACAGATATCAACAGACTCATAATAACATTTGTAAAACATTATGAGAAGATATATCCTTTGAATCTGGAGATTGCAACGAGCAGATCAAACACATCAAACTGAACCCACCAGCACGTCTGTGTTCTCAAAGTAGTTCCTCCAGTAAGGACGGATCTTGCGCTGACCTCCAATGTCCCAAACATTCAACTTGAAGCCAGAAGACTGAACACACTTTATATTGAAGCCCTGTTGAAAATGAATATAGATACTTTATCTCATACTTGATACGGTGTGTGTCAAAGCTATTAGATGCATACGAGCGTGTGCTTTTTAATACTTGAGTTGGGGTGATGTGGCTGATATCTTCGGCTGCCAGCTGTTTCAGCAGAGTGGTCTTCCCAGCGTTGTCTAGACCTAACAAGAGTAAGCGCACCTCCTGATCTGGGGACTGTTTCAGCCTCCGTAGAATGGACAACAGGCCCTGCAGGTGGATCACAGTACAAAGTGAGAGGTGATGAACTTCAACAACAGGTTCCTAGATTACTATATTGTCACCGTAATTTATTTTTGGCCTCATCTATATCAGGATAGGGTTTAAATAAGCAGACTAAGTCTGTCTTTGGCAGAGGAACAAAAAGGAGCGTGCCCAGCAGGAGGTTAACACCAACCCTACTGCGAGAATCATCCTGAGCATGGGGATTTAGCTGTTAGCCGCTTGCAGTGACCGACACATGTGGTCCGCTACAAGGCTCTCATTGGTCGGCCGAGATTAGGCATGAGCACAGTGATTGGCTCGTGTCCAGAAGGTGGTCAGGAAGGCTTTGGCTCAAGCTATTTATCTTAAGATGAAAACTCTGCTCTCTGGCACCTCCAACATTTATTTATTGTGTGCAAACTGGAATCAAATGGGACTAATGAATATGAGAAATTATTTTCAAGAGACTCCCTGTCAATAGAAAAATCAATACATGAAAGAAATGTTTTCAGCTCCTTCCAGTGCACATCCTTAAAAACAAGTACATCTATTTATCTTGATTTCACAACATTATCGAATATGGTTTAAACATTTTGTATTCTTGTTTTATACATCCTTTTCTTTGCTTTGTTTTCCAATTGTTTTAAAAATGGCTTTAAAGGCCTAAATAAATTGCTCACCAGCTCTTAAAATAAGTAAAGCTGTTGCAATTGTACAGTAAAAGACATTAAAGCATTGATCATACGCAGAAATACGTAAATATATTTGAGCAATAACACATATTATCATCATCCGCCTCAGTATGAACCCATTGTTGGAAACTCTGACAGTTTAAAAACCTAAATCAAACCTAAATCAGTATATTATCCATCTTAACAGGACCACTCCCTGTAATTTGGCTCACAGTTCCCAGTATCACAGCATCTGTGTTTCATGTTGTAATGTGAATCATCATAACTCACCATGTCTCCCTGGTTGGTGTTGAGGTCTTCGGTCAGTCTGAGTGGATTAACATCTTCCCTGACCATGTTTCTTTGGTGAACAGCTGTCAAGTTCAGTTGTCAGGGAGACCTGTGACGTCAACGTAAACAACGTGACTGCTGAGCGTCCCTGGCATGACACCAGGAGAAAACAGGAGGTCGAGAAATAATAGTATTATGATAGTTTTTAAATGATTTTCACAAAAATATAGAAATAAATTACATGTTCAGTTTATGTATTTAGAGCTGCAAGTTGCAATTATTGAATAATACAGATACAAATACTAATATATTTGCAATTTGTGATTGAAATTAATTCTATCAATTGTTAAAAAATTAATTCTGTTGATCTACTGATTCACACAATTTTGCTGCTCTGATTAGTTAATTAATATGAAAAAATAGGTTTTCAGAGTTAAGTTTGTCTTGATTAATGTTTATCTTTGTTTTTGTTAACACTTATTTTGTCAAGTATTAAATATGGTTGAATCAACTTTATTAATTAAATGAATGTACAGAACTGAAGATATCTCCCTACATCTGCTGGTGGTCACTAACATCCACTAACATCCTGCTGACACCTGCTGACATCTACCAGTAGCTGTTTTGTGCACAAGACCTTTAAAGGTCGAGTGGTATTCACCATCTAGTTCTATATTCTAAAATTAAAATATTATATTATCACCATTAATATGATGAAAGCAGCAAGTTCCTGATGAAGTGGAAACATGTACTAAATAATTATAATTAGATCTAGAAAATTTAGAACATCTGTTAATAACAACCACACCGGCCTATATTTCATGTGTTAGTTTACTTAGCATTTAATTGAGGTCACAACATTTTGAGTGTTGTAATAGATTTAAAATTGTTTCCCCATGATCTTGAAGCAAATAAAGACGAATGGAACTATTTATTATAAAGATATTTTGTGCTGTGAGGTTTTGAAGTTCTCATTTTTCTGATGGAACTAAAGTGAAATCCTGTGTTTGTTAAACCAGCCTCAGTAACACGCTCGCACAGCGCCCCCTACAGACCACCGCCGCCTCCGGTTCATGTTACTACCGGGGCTGTTTGTGTTTCTGGTTCCAGGAACAACAAAAACATGTTCGAGCGCCGCGGACTGAAGCGTCAAACCCGCCGCGGCCACCGGCACTGACACGGCTTCGATTCTACCGACTGCTATATGATTCCCGTCGAGTTCACGGCCGACAACCCAGAACGATGCCGCAGAAAGCACTGGGATCCATTGTAGCTCTTCTTTGTACCGGGGCCTGTCTGGTGCAGGTAAGTCCGCGCTAGCGCTCCCGGGGTCGGCGAGGCTGCTGTAGGTGAGACCGCGGCTCCGGGGCTGGGCGAAGGCCTCGGTGTCGAGCCCTTTTGTCTCCCCCACAAAGGGAGCTGCGCGGCTCGCCGCTCTAACACCGAGGGTGACGTCAGTCGGTTAAAGTTTTCATCTTTATTTCCACACTGGACTTGATGAGAAATGAATGTTGTGAGTCGATATCAACACGGGTTTGTTTTATCGACTCAGTTCGACAGTTTGATCCGAGGGTGTGAAGATTAACATTAGCCGGAGCTACCCGGTACCCGGAGAATTGACGTGTTTGTTCCCAGTTGTTGATGGTGGGTCAGCGGGCAGGGCAGCCAGACCCAGTGTGGACATTTTGCTTCTCATACAAAATCACTACTTCAGCTTTAGTCAGATAACAACATGAACAATAATATAAAAACAGTTTAGATCGATGTAACTAGTTTAATCACGCTGCCATCGTTTGACAGTGTTGCAGAAGTGTTGTTTTTTTAACACGAGTTCCTTTCAACATCTGTTGTCATTAAAACGTGTTGATAAAAAGCTGTTGGACTTGTTTTGCTCACTGGCTGGAGGTTTGTATTGTTGTGTTACTTTCCTGTCCCCTCAGTTGTATCCTTGCTAAAGTAAATTAACATGTTAAATTCAGTATTTATTACTATTAACCTGTTTAAATAACATGGTTTCACTTCAGTTACCAGGGCCCATGACTACTCCCAGGAAATATGTGTATATTGTCGTTGATCACTTTGTATTGCTCTCTCTATATAAAGTTAATCTTTGTATATGAGAATGAGATGGATGAATGCATTTGATTGGGTTTTTTTTTTTACAAGATAAAACTTAATGGATCCCACGTTAGAGAAATGTTAGGATGTAAACTGTATTTGTGCATTACTGTATGGAGATGGTGATGTCCAGAGCAAATATCTCAGTGGGAAAATAAAGTCTATCTTATCTAATCTTAAATTAGCACATACAAGAGACACAAAACACACTGAAATGACACCGAGGTGAAAATGACAGAGACTAAATAGATCCTAGAAATGGGTCCGTTTATCAGGAGCTTGCTATTTCTTTCCATGTTTGCTCGTGTGATTGAGTATTGACCATGTATTGACACAGACAGTGACTTTGTGTACCTCCTGTGTGTGTTTAAGGCAAAAGAGTTCTGTTTTGGGGTCAACAATGAACAGTATCGCTGTGAGATGGGGTACTGCTGTGGAGAGACTGAATGCTGCACCTACTACTATGAGCTCTGGTGTAAGTACAAATGATTGTTTCTCTTTTTCTTCATTCAGATAAACCACGTACTGTGTATTTGTATAGCCACCATGTCTCTGTATTGTCCGTTTATTTCTCATGTTGGAGATTTAAATCTCAAGATAGGTTTTGTTAGATGTGTTTTGTTTCACTTTCAAGTTAGTTTCACCTTTGTGTTAGCTACTGTGTACTTAAAAGGCATGTACTGAACTATATAACTATGTACTATATATTTATTTAAATTCATCTTTATGTTGGTTATACATTGTGCTAGCACAGTGAGGAATCAGTGTTAATCATTCTCTGCTCATAAAGAAGATTTTAAACTACAACCTTCACTCAGGAGCAAAAATCCATCTTTAAAATTAAAGGAAATGTTCATTTGAATTTTACCATTCTAATCATTAATATTGACTGATCTTTTTTATCTTGATATAGTATATGGCCACACTGTCCAGCCCTAATTTTAATAATGACTATACTTGAAATATATCTTCAGACATCTAATAATAAGATCTGACTGCAAACCTAATGCCTCATCATTGAATTACCACCTTCTCCTTGGTTATTTAGATAAATTATAATGAAATGACGATAAGATGACATTAAATCTGTCCCTCATTCTAGGGTTCTGGTTAGTGTGGACCTTGATCATCATGCTGAGCTGCTGCTGTGCCTACCGACATCGGAGGGTCAAGATGCGCCTGCAGCAGGAGCAACGTCAACGTGAGATCAGCCTCATGGCCTACCAAGGAGCCTCAAGCTCCTTCATCTCCCCTCCACCACTCAATCTAAGTGAGTTGTCCACTTTGCAATGGGGACATGAAAGATTCCCTCCAGTATTCAACAGTGATTGTTTCTTTTTATTAATTATCAATTTCATGCTCTCTGTCATCTTGCGGTTTTATGTGTAGGCTGTAAGTTTCTCTATGTTGTTAAGTTCATGCGTCAGAGGAAGAGCGCACTGTGATATTGAAAGTAGATAGAAGCCCAGATAATATTTCCTACAGTCACTTCCTCTAAAGCTTTGGTCCCTCGTGTGCTGCTGGAGCTGCTGAAAGTTTCAGTTTCTGCTGGGTTGTTCTCTCAGGTCTCCCTTGATTCAATCCAGGTCTGCAGCGTAATACTGAGGTCATCATGGATATCTTTATTCCTCTACATATCAGACGTGTGTGATATTTGAACTCTCCACTAATCATCAGTGGTCTATAAAACATCTTCATTACAGCACTCTGACAGACAGGAGCTATTAAAAATAGATTTGTAGGTGCTGATTTCTTGTCCCGATCCCATCATACTCAGCTGCACATTTCCTKCATGTACTATATATTAGAGATCACAGTGTTGATCACAGTGTTGTGTTAACGTTACTAGAGGGACAGCAGACAGCGGAGATGCCGTGCTAATGTCAGTGGTCACTCCAGACCTTCTTTGAAACATGATATCATGTCCACTAATATCACAAACAGGAGTGGGACAAGGTGCACACTTGTCGGAGCCTCAGCCTCAGGACAGTGAACATGCTTGATTTACTGTCAGAAATGTGAATCTGACCGAGAGCACACACAGACACTGATTCACAGAAAGCCTGGCAACATGTACTGTGCTCGATGTTCACACAGGTTATCATGGGGAAAATATTCTGACATTTCCAAATAATTTCTGGGTATTTATGTTTTCATTTTATCTTTCTTGACCTCTTATTTTGCCTTTTGCCGAATGCCTGAAGAAGTTTGGTTTAATAAAAAAACGCAGCAAAGGCACAACTGCAGTGTTTGACCTAATTTTCAATTGTGTTTTCAAGAAATCGTGTTTGGAAATCTAAAGTGTTTACCTACTTACCTCTAGGGTTTTGGAACGACTGCAAACTTCCTGACTATGAGGAGGTGGTAGGCCATCCCCCAACGCCACCCCCCCCTTACTCTGAAAACCCTCCAGAGACCGTTCCAGCACTCCCTCCACAACTATGCCAGCCAGACCCTGACGCAGTCCCACAACCCCTGGCCCAGGCAGACCCGAATTGTGAGGCTGCGAGCTTGCCGCTGGAACAGGAAGCGGTGTCAATGTCAATCCAGGCTCAGTGTCTGGAGGAGGAGAATGCGGAGGCTTCTCTGGTGGCCGCAGATGAAGACGAGGAGCTCATCACTCGGCGTCGGCATGTGACCGGTGACTCAGGGATTGAGGTGTGCGTTTGCCAGCTAGACGTGGACGAGGGCTCGGGGCTTGAGGAGGAAAGTGACGAGGAGCACCGGATGTGCAAGGTCACCGGTGGGGACTGCTGCTCTGGGCATCAGCAGCAAACCTTCAGACAGAAGGCGCACGCCCCTGAGCTTCCCTGCCAGACCGCCAGCACCAGCACTGGAGACCACATGGTGTGATCCGCAGCATAAATAACCAGCCATTCAATTCGGCTTTCCGCTTCACACATGGGGAAATGATAAAGCTGTTGCCATCATCATCATCACCATAAACACTGTCTGTGTTTTAATTCTTTGAACTAACACATAGGCATGAGGTTAAGATGATGATGATAACTAATCATTACTGGCTCCTGATGAGAAAGATGAATAACAAATTATGTGGATAAAGTCCAGGCTACATTTTTTGCTTTGCTTTTGTGTAGTGGATAAACCAGCAAACACCTACTACACCATTTGGGTTTTTTCTCCTTAGTGTTTAGTAAGACATTGTCATTGGGCAGTGAGAAGGCAGCAATTGATTGTGACTGAAATCAGAATTAACTGTTTCCCTTGCTCCTACACGACCTTTGAGCACTGCCATCATGTTTCCATTTCTTTGTTGTCACTCTCCTCGCTCAGAACATTTTCGGGCCTCCACCTCCAGTGGTCATCCTAGAGCATACCAACACGGTCAACATTTCTCCCCACGGCCTCACTTGACCAGTCAGAGGAGTCAAAAATAAACTTCTTGATAACTCAAGATGATGCTGGATTAATTGACAGGCCCCACGCATTTCATTTCCCCCCGAGGGTCTTTGATGCGTGAGAGTTTGTGTGTGTGTGCTGTGAAATCTAGGGTCATGGCAATCATCGTCTGGTGCCCTGTGGTCTGTGGGAGGTTTTGCATCTAGATTAGGGGGGAGGTGGTGGAGGGGACTAACCAGCAACAAATAGCAGAGGCAGCGACAGGAAAGAGCTACGGTTTTGTTTTGCTCTAAATGTCATACATCCTCCCTTCAGCAGCTTGTTTTCTCTTTTTGATATCCATATTGTGTTCACCACCAGTTCACCACCACATCTTTTTGTGATTTATTGATTGATTGCATGTGATTTCCCCTCTTTGGTATCTGACTGCATTTGAGTGATAGTAATTGACAAGAGGGTAATGTCACCAATTTCTTTTTAAATAAAAAGCCTTGTGGTGGCTCCAGGATGGAGACATGTATTTCTCAGTATATTGCTTGGATGTAACTAGGAAGGATGTACTTTTTATACATAACCAGCTGTGCTTCAGTAGATGCTACAGGGGTCACTATTAATTGCAACAATGCTCCTGACGGGGGCTGCAGCAGTGCATACTCATATGGGTGTTTTAGTGCAGTAGGGAAGATATCTTGTGTGTTTGTCTGTAAAGTGCTGTAGCACCTGGTTGAAATATTTACTCAGCACTGAGGTGGATAACAATTAAAGCACTGTTTTTTTTGCATGAGGCATGAATATCGATGTTTATATTTGAGTTTGTTAGCTTTTCTCTAGCGGCTGTGCTAGTTTTCATTTGCCCATCTGTAAGTCACATTGATTGTGGGCTACAGCGGCAACACGACTCCGCACCCAGATGTTGGGGTAAAGAAATAGACTGAGGTTTAAGCTCAGATGCTCTGGATCTAGTTTGATTGTGTTGTTACTGCCGTCTGAGTTGTGCTACGCTGTGCTTCTATCTAGTTAGCCGGTGCTGTCGTGGCTCTGTGGCCCCTACAGCTCTTGGCAGCGTGAGGGATTTGCAGTGGTATTTTCCACTGGCAGCAGAGGGGGGGTGCAGTAGAAAGCTGAGGCGGATGCAGGCTCCAATGTGCAGTTTGGTCAGCGATGACACAGCTGCAGAATCTATTGTGATCGACTGCACGCTGCACAGCCTTGGGTGTTGCTTGCTGTGTGTATTGTATGTATTCATAGCATAGCAGGCGAACTAGGTGTTGTCAGACAGGAAATTAAACGGTTAATGTTAGAAGATTTTTAAAAAGTCATTGTGCAAGACAAAAAGTAACTGATGAGTAGGTGAATGTTAAATTGAGAAATTTAATTTGGAAGAACTTTTTGTTTGTCAGCTCTGAAACTGTGTGACAAAATGTGCACAGTGTAAAGACTCAGGTCTGTCATTCTGCTTCATGCAAGCACACTCAGCACGCTCACTAAACACTGCTCCAAGGTAAAGTGAAAGATGCCCTGAACAGTCTTGAGCATTCTCATGACTGAATTTGTTACTTAGAAAGACTCCAAACACATCCTGTAGCTGAAAACGTGTTGAGGAGTGTCAACATTTTATGCTTGTAAAATATATTTAGTCAAACATAGAAATAGCTGGTTGTAATATGACAAGGACATGTGAGGGAAATTCTTGGCCACTCAACAGGACTTGATTCTGGGTTCTGCACATTAAAGTATGTAAATATTGCAGCTCAGTGGCCTATGAAAGTTTGTCCTCATTCCTCCCTCCAGCAGCAGCTCTGTTCTGGTTCTGCTCGTGTCTCTGTGTTCCACTATTCGAGCTGGAGAACTTACTGTTGTGGGAGAACAATATAAAAGGGCCAGTGCACCAAATATCTGAATATAGAGTGAAACAAAATGAATGCACAGCTGCCTAAAGCTTAGAATGAAAGATATTTTAGTTTCTTGCTGCATTAGTGTAAAGTTTGCAGTCCTTGTGTTGCGTAGTTGAGCAGGTGCATAAATACAAAGCCACGCTAACATGACAATGACCTTTTCAGAGGAGCTGTTACACTGTGAGCGTCATTGCACACAGATTAGCGGAAGTAACATTAAGACCTTTTTTGACCAACACACCTCAAGCTGCCTTGCTGCATCTCTAGAGAGCAAATGTCTTGATTATAGAATTGCACAATAAAATCTAGCCTCTACGCAGTACTGATGTGCTACAGCCTTATTAGAGTAGATGTAGTTAAGTGTGGTTTTTATGTTTTTCCTTTGAATGGTATATTTGTGGTTTTTCCGAGCATGATTAGCGCAGTTTGAATCTGAGGGGTGGTTGTGTTGAATTTAAAATACTGTGTCTTGTTCGTTGTGGCACTGATGGAATTTGTCAACACCAGATTGTTGAGCTTGCGCTCGCTCTGTTTTGTTCCAAGGATCTGGTCATGATTAGTTTGTGAAATTAACTGGCATGAAGAAAATAAGAAAAAAAAATCATTTTATTTCCTTTGGTATCTTTGTGACTCATCCTATCTGTGTTTTGCATTCGGGGGACAAATATTAACTCCAGCAAGAGAGTTCATGCTAAGGTTCAGTTTAGCTTATTTGTATAGATATGTAGACATAACAGCTGAGGGGAGTGAGGGAGTGAAACGTTTTTTTTGCGTGTGTACTGGAGGTCCATAGTTTTCCCATTGCCAAACAACTACTATGCCTCCCTGATTTTTCACATGTTTACTGAGTACAAGGGCTATATACACACATCCATCCATGTCACTGAGCGGTTCATCTGCCCTGAGCTGTTCATTTAAAGCCGCAGCTGCTGAGCTCCAGCGTCTGAACAGATATTTTGCGATTTGAACATGGTCAGTGTTTGGATGTGGACGTCCTGTAAATTTATGGCAGAGCTCATATTTAACAATTGCTGATTGTAAATGACTATGTTTGTTTTATAGGCTCTAACTTTGCCTTTTTTGCTTTCGTCGACCTCAACAGAGGTGCGTGGTGCGACATCTCCCCTCCCCCCAATGAGAACAATTCTTTCAAATGTAAGTAATACATGTGTGATTATGTCTGAGAGTTTTTGCTTCTCTCCGTCGGCTCTCTGTGGACCGTGACTCCACCCTCCACCGAGTCTTGGTAACAGAGAAAACAGCAGATGCTCCGGCAGTCGACAGAATACTTTACCAAAGTCGTTGCCATCTCCACACTTGTTTTCCCCACTCTGTTTGTGTGTTGGCATGACAACGATGTGTTTGGTTTCCCTCTCTCTCAGGGTCATCTTTAACCAAGCAGTGCTAGAGTATGAAATTATACTTTTTTTTTTTACCTGTCAGTCTCATTAAGCCAAAGCGGTTGTTTCGTTGGCCATCGTCCTTTTTTATTTCTGCGTCACGCATCTCTGTAGTGTATCGTACTTTACTCGACTAGGCTATGCAAAAACATAAACCTACTGTTAAATGCTGCGCCCTCTGTCTCACTTTCTCCGTCGTGTATCTGTGAGCACTAGTACAAGCAATATAACTCTCAGTACTTGTGTCACTTCACTGTACTGTAATCTACTTTTGGTTGGTCTGTGTACATGTAATATAATATACTTGTAATGCTACTACAATGATGCGGTGCGTATGTAAGCTTCAGTGTCGGCTGAGGGAGTTTGAGTTTAAAATCCATTCTTCATAATATTTTATTTCTTCTCCTCTGTTTGGCTTTTTCAACCATTGAATTGTTTTCATCCGACTCATGAATAAACCACATTATTAAGCTGTATAAGTAGAAGAAAAGTTTAACATTTTTTTGGGGGTAAATTCTTATTTGGTTATCTTTGGTCTGTTTGAGACTTTCCCATCCTACACATTTGGTGCACTAATTCAGTGCACCTGCTTTTTTCCATCTTCATGAATTGTCATTGAATATTTAACTGTTGCCTTTAACCCACAGATATAATGATACTATCAGTTTCTACATTTTTATAGATTATGCATTTGACAGACTTTGACATGAACCACGGTCGGATCACATTAGACCAGCACATATTAGACGGATACAGTAATTAATTGTGGACCCCTTAACTCTGAATTTATAAAATAATAAATTATAGCCTCATGTTTCTGTCATGCAACAGGGAAACTGCTTTTTTCTAGATGATACCAAACAGATGCAGGTTCTGTTTTTTTTGTTTTTTACCAAAATGAGAAACACCCTGGTTTGAGAAGGAAGCAGGCATCTACAACCACACATTAGACTCTTTCTACATTGTTTTCCTAATAACTTTAAACAAGCCAAAATGAGTAAAGTGGGAAAAAAAGGAAAAAATTAAAGCACTGAATTACAGATGAATAGAATGCTTTGGTTTTAGTAAAGAAGTCTGCTGTGTACTCTTTGGGTCATCATTTGTATTTTATTTTTTTAATAAAACAAACATTGGCACTCAGCTGACTTGACTCTTTGACATTTCTTCACTAAAAATCCTCTTCATTCGCTACAATTGGCCTCTTACAGGATCCAGGGATTTTATTTTAAAAAATGTAAGTTTTAAAAATAAGAATCTCCCTTATGTGGCCACAATGAGATGGATCTGCCTGTGAGAGTGAAAATGGTGCCCCCACCAACCCGTGTCAAAGCTGATCCAGAGGACGGTCACATGGCTGAGTGAGAGGCACCTCAGGCGGTCACTCGAACATATTGACTGTGTGACTGTTATGTAATTTGGAATAGTATGACACAACCTCTTGTCCCAAACCCACTGGAAGTTATTTTTGATCATGAGGTCTCACTTTGTAAGAATATATATGAAAAAGGTGATTTACTCTTAAACTTCTTTTTTTTATCTGCATTTAAACTATGAGGATTTCACTCTAAAAGACAGATTAAGTAAAACCTGTTTGTAATTATAAGAAAATCCACCGAAGCACTCAGAGTAAAGGAAGTTAGGCAAGGTCTGTTTGGTTTTTAATGAGGCAAGGCAAATAGTTTTGGACAAAGCAACAGGATTAAATGTTTCTAAAATAAAATGGATGCACGAGGCACAGTTTTCAAAGAAGCAACAAACAAAAGAATAAAACTAGAATGGCACTCAATAGAGCAGAAACCTCCACCAGGGCCCAACAGTCCCATTAAATTCAATCAAGCTGCACCATATTGTACACAATCATAAATATCAGTCCACTTAATGTGCCTGATTTTTCTAATCTATGAATTATTCACTGGGAAATTATTGAAAATGCCACAACAAAATAAACATTAAAAAAAAAATGTTATGGTTTCTTCTTAAACCCATACTGCATCCTTCCACTATGTTTTGTGGAAATCTGTTGAAAGTAGTTTTGCGTAATCTTGCTTACAAACAGACAAACAAACCAACACACAAATAGACAGAGTACAAATATTTGACAGAGGTAAACGTAATATAAGGTAGAGTGTCTTGTCAAAGTGGCTCCAGGAGAAGAGTGAGTCCTTATACATTGCACAATCAGAAACAAAGCACCACTTAAAACATAATTCCAGAACATATAGAAGAGTGAACAACTGCTGGCTCAGTCTTACAGTTCAGTATATATATATCAGAGGCAGCCTGAGGCAGAACCAGCGAGTTTGTAGACTCCACTGCAGAAACATTCACTGTATGACGCACTTCACAGGAAAACAGGAGATGTTTATACATGCAACACAAGAAGCACAGACAAAAGGTCACTGTAGTGTTCAATGGGCAGAGAAAAGAAGCATCTGTTGCTAAAGACGTGATAAATGAGCAGCATTAAAAACGTATTTATTTCAATTCTCTCTTCAGTGCAAAGATACATTTCTAAAAATCACAGGAAGTCTAAAATCTTACTTTAAATATATGTGGAAGAATTTACTGTAAACTGATCCTGACTTTGATCAGATTTGCTCATGTACATTTATTAAATAAACGGAAATAAGCCCTGCTAATATATAAATATGTTCTTTAATTGAATATTGCTATAATATAAATTTAAGTTAAATATTTCCTGGACATACTCAAATCTTTGTCAGCACATGCACCAATGAGGCAAAAGTCAAGTTTTCATAGTCTGCACACAAACACACAAAAAGCTCAAGCACAGTGTAAACAAAGTACATGTGGCAGTTTGGACAATTCCAAAAAAAGAATTACCTCAACGAATGTCATGCAAACTACAGCAACTACAGGGTGAGAATATACAGCTTATTATAGTTCATACACAGAGTTGAAATGATGTGTATGATGTGTCTTTATTCAGCGGGGGGCTTCAGTAGAGATGACATCAGTTTTATTTGGTTCGCACATGAGGTCAAACTGCGATCAACAAATCTTCAGGTGCTTATATTTATTCAAAATTCTCAAAGCCATAAAACCAAAATTGGTGAAGTAAAAATTGTAAATTTTCTCCATTTCCATCAAATGCGGTGAAAGGTAACAAAAGCAGTCATGTAATGTCCTGAACTGCACGTCTGTGTGTAACAAATCCAGAGGCGGGATGATAAGGCCGAGTGGGTGCGTGTCAGCCAGGAGATGAGGACAAATCAGGTCCTCCTGCTGCTTTGTGAAAATCTGTAGCAGAGCTGGAGAATGGCTTTTGTAGCAGGTGATACATTTACTCCATCTCCTGTCAGGATACAACAAGCTGCTGCACTCCGCTGGTCGACAGTAGCGTCTTGCTCTTGTGCAGTTCGGGGTCCGAGGACCGCAGTACAGTAGTTACCCACAATAACGTCACCTACTTTTTTTCCCCCCGTCTCCGGTCTTTCCTCAGTAGAATCGCTTGCGGCGGCTCTCGTTCCAGTGGCTGTACACCACCAGGCCGATGACGATGAGAAAGATACAACCCAGCATGGAGAAGAGCACTGTGAAGAAAATGGCTATCCCACTCATCCTCTCTTCAACCTGTTCCACTGGAGGGGAGGAAATAGAGGGAGAAGGCGGAGTGAAAGAGAGGAGGTGGATGGAGGGATGAAGGTGACAGAGAACAGAAGAGAGAGACCAAGCATTCAGTGTACTTCAACAATTGCTTCGTCAGCTTATATGATAACGATGATGGTGTTTTGTGTGTGTGTGTGTGTGTGTGAGCCTTACATCTGAGCAGGTCCATGTTATCAACACTGGGGATGGTTATTTTGTCTTCCTCTTCCTCTTCCTCTTCCTTTTTACTCCTCAACACTGTCAGCTGGTAGAGTTTCAGTGAAATGATATCATGGTTGTCTGTAAAAAGAGAACCGGGAAATACGATCACATTTAGAGAACAAGTAAAATTAACAAATGTTCACTTTCACTTCACATATTCACAGAGGAACAATAAACTGAACTGTGCAACCATTCACTATGAACAATAATGTGTCTCTGATGGATTATTGTCAGTTACATTTTATTTCCATGAATCAGCAGTGTTCCTTTTTGTCCTGTGTTTTAAATTTCGACTAAGCTGACAAATAGTAATTTTCACCCGATACAAAACATAAGTACTGTGAATGTAGGTAAATGGGTCTGTTCGCATAGACAATGCTTGAAGTAGACTGACTGGTTATTGAAGTGACTGTAACCTGGCAGCTGTCTGGGATGTTAGAGAGCTGCTTACCTGAGAGATCTCCAGTGATGGCGGTTGCTCCAAAGTAAAAGCCTTCTGGCAGCCGCACCCCGGGTATGTCTAGGCAGTCCCTCCACTCATGCTGCCCGTTGATATCTATCATCACCTGAGGAACAGAGGCAGTCAGGACGCAGCAGGGACTTTCAGAAGGTCAGAGTAAAAACATCTTGTTCCCAGAAAAAACTGTTTTCCTGAATAGTTTTGTAAATAAAATCAAGAAAATGCTTATTTTGAATTTTACTCACAAAACATTTTGTCAATAATTCAGTGAACTTTTTTTAATAGTTGTCCTGTAGCTGCTTGTGCTTCAGTTATTACTCTGATATGTTTAGTCTATTAGTGATACATTTACAGATACATTTAAAAATATTTAAGACAAGAGTTAAAGTGTGTCTCTCACCGTCAGCCTGCGGCGGACGTATCGGATGAAGAGGAAGGTGTCGTGTTTGAGGTTGCGCACCATGGCGTTACAGCCGCCCAGCTCACTGGGCCGACCGTCCCGCTCATGGTCGTAGCTGATGCTGCCATTTCCCACCATGGCCAGAACGAAGGGGAAGATCCTCTTGAGGTCACAGAGACATGTGGAAAAATGAGCTATTAGCATATGTTGTTGCAGCACTGAGCGGTGATGGTGATCGGTGCCTCTATTTAAAAAACAAATATAACCACACAGCAAACATGCAGGGACATTCAAAACACACACACACAGACATAGTACAGTGTTGTGTATTGTGGTCAGAGACGGAAGCGTGGGGGTCACAGCAAGACACACTGTTGAAATGAAATGTTCCAAAGACCTAGTTACCTGTTCGCGAGGAGTGTATCTCTTCTTCTGTGCCTGTCTCCAAATGGTCGCACAAAAGAACACAAAAACAGCCACTTTACACAAATCTGCAAGACCACTTGTACATATAATCGTGGTTTTACTTTCAAAGAACAGGTGATATCGAAGCCGCTCTATTGCAGCGTACCTCAAGGTGCTTCTCCTCGTTGGGATACGTGTCCACAAACACACCCAGGCCAGTGAAGTTGTCCATATTTCCAAACACAGGACCTGTGAGACGATAAGAAGACAGAGTGTTAATAATATATTGAAGCTTGTTTTCTTCTGACATAGGGAGTGAGGTTGGGTAAATATGTCTTTTACCTTTCTGCATGCGTTCCTTCGTGTACCAAATGGCCAGCCCGTCACCATTCAGGTTCTTCTTTCCTTTCCCGTGAATCTTAAAGTGAACCTGCATCTCCCAGTCCTTCAGATGGCAAGGCTAGAAAAATACAACAGTCAACTGTAAAATATCAAGCCTCGTTACATTTCTTATGATGATGCGTCATGGCCCAATTGTATTTTTCTGATATACATCAGTCAATATGTGATTCTCTGAAAAGTTTTACTACCTAGTCTCAGTATCACAGTGTGTACTCACCATGCGGCTCCACACCGCCCCCTGTCTGCTCTGCATGTCAGGTGTGAGGCGCACCTGCTCGGTGGTTACCATGGCATCCCCCATCAGCTCCCAGTGGGAGGAGCCTAGGGATCCCACACCTGAGTACACACACACACAAACACAATCATCATGACAGAAGCTGACACAGCAGAACTCATTTGAGAAAAATGCTTTGTCATCGTACGAAAACATTACTGTCAGTAAAAGGAGACAGTGAAGCACAATGCTCGGTGTATAGTTGTAAATAAAAGTAAAACGCCTTGTTTATCTGAATGTCACAGCGCTGGGGTCGATCAGAGGCATGTTACCGATCAAATGTACATTGATGAGACGGAACATTGTTGTTATTTCATCGCTAAGCGTGTTGTTCTAGAAACATCTCTCCCTCAGCCTGTGCACCGGCGGATAACGGGTCGGGTACCTTGGTACGGTTTGGAGAGGGAATACTCCCGCTTCAGAAACTCCTCCAATTCGTGTTCATCGTCGGCAAAACACCGGCTCACTGTCAGAATGAGCAGAGCCAGAGTCCAGAGCGGTTTAAACGACATGTTGTTCCCTGTGGAGAAGAGACTGAGCGCTGACTGCCGAGGCTCCCTGTGATGATTCCTGCTGCAGGCGGCGGCCATTGTGGAGGGAAAAACTCCTCCCACTCAACCAACAGCTTGGTTCTCATTGGTCCACCGTGTTGCATGGCTCGTCACCATTGGTCCTTTGAACGTCAATCACAAGACAAGCTTTTCATTGGCTGTTTTAGCGGAAGGTGATTGTGGAATAGAAAAAACAGAGCAGACTTTAAAATGAATTATCTATATATAACACAATTAGAATATATTATATCTCATTGTATTTTGTGTTATACAAAGATTATAATTTCTATTCTATTCCATTTATGTCCGGATGAAACTTTTTTATAAGTTTCTGAAACGTGTATTCTCCACTCAGCCTTTTTTGTATGGAAGGCTGAACGCTTTCCAGGAACATTTCATTCACAGTTTCTTGGAAAAAAAAAAATATGCAAAAATATTGCATTTGACACAATACATATATAAAAGCAAGGACAGGAACCAGGTACGGATTCGGATCGTATCCATATAGTAATAATATAATATTGAATATTGAATCTGATTTGAATGACCTTTAGGGACCCAAATCATTTTTTAACCACACAGCTGTCCATGTTTTGAGTGATTTTAAACCTGCGATGTCTAATCGAATAACCAAATGCAACTAAACATAACAAGTGTGAAAACATGACATCAAATATAAATCAACATATGATAATATATTATATATATCATATATATATATATATCTGTGATGGGTCCTTCATGTATCTGCAGCCAGTTGGATGCTGTGAGTGAAATCACGCCCCCTTCACTGCCCATGCTCCGTGTGGGCTTTTCCTGTTCTGACATTCCACCTACGGGAAGTAAGCAGCAGCAGTAGTAGAGACCCAGAGGGGATGGAGTGAAAGGAAAGAAACATGGATCCCGCTGAAGATAAAACGAGCAAAGCTGTCGACATTTACCGCGACACATGGGTCCGCTTCCTCGGTATGTGACCTTTCTTTATTCTACCTGAGTTATCTCTGTATGAACCTGAGCAGACCGCAGAGGCAACACCGCGGTGTGACCCTGGAGCTGGGAGCTAGCTAGCTAGCTAACACAGGCTAACAACTGTTTCAAACTTCTATTTATAGCGGAAGTGAAGGACATTTAGTGTCCACAGGACACTGCAGACGTCCAAGAATAGCCTGTGATATCCTGCTGTGTTTCCTTTAACCAGCTTAGTGTTGTCTGTGTAGCTCCAGTCTCATTTGCAGGTATTTGTTAAGCAAGTCGACGCGGGTGACTCATAAAACAACGAAGAAACGCCCGTAGATTAGAGACTGAAAACTCTGATCCTGCTCAGTGTCCGTGGTTCTCAGAGCTGTTCTCCTCTCAATGAACCAGGAGGCTCACTGGTTATCCAATGAGCCCCTGTCTGTACAGTGAAGGGCATCGAACATGCTGCAGCACGACTTCAATCCACTGTTCCCCCTATCACCTCTGATCATTTATAATATATATCCCTCATAGTCATAAGCTGCCATCATTGATCCTGCACGTGTGCTCCTTTAATAAAACATCTTCCTGCTGATTTGAGTGATGTTGGTGTGAATAGCACAAGAGCAGAACTCATACTACAGTGTGTACTTATATACTACTTCAAATTACATCTAGATTTACTATCAGATCAATTATTTGTTATTCCTCCTTTCTTTGCTTGTACAACCCATAAGAAAATGTATCTATACACTTTAGTTATATTTCTATTGATTAAAGTATGATATAATTAGGATAGGAGAGCGTGGTGTCCTTGTAGATGGTGATAGTGTAGACCAACCAGGCTACTTTTAAAATCCCATATTGCTAAATGTCATACAGTTCAAAAGGTAAACTGTAGATCTGAGACTGATTATCGTTAATGAGATTAGCTATCTCTTATCATTCGGGATTAAAAAAACACCTGTTATCCATTACCATCTAAACTGGGGCTGGGCTATATGGAGAAATATTATATCTACATTAAAATGACGATCAGTAATTTTTGCTCCTGAGAGAAAGTTGTGGTTTTAAACTCTTCTGTATGGGCAGAGAATGACAAATACTTGATAAACAGCAAAACATTTCACAGATCTGAAGTTGACCAGTTATGTCTTGTACCTCCTCACTGTATTTGCATAATGCACAAGCAAACATATTGTTATATATTGGACTTTATTTATCGCTTTTGTTTGACAGTTACAGATAATTATTGATATTGTTTTATTGCCCAGTCCGTATCAGGAGAGCAGAAACATATAAGATGTTCCTACAATTGTTTTGTATAAGTTACTTGAATGATTTTGGTGTTAATAAGAGCCATGCTTTTCATCCACTGTCCCATTGTATCTGTGATTGGGTACTGCAGTGTACTTTTAAGTTTTAGAGTAGAATATTTCATGTTAAGTCTGCATATTTTGGACACAGTGGATTCTCCCCTGATGTCTCTGCAAGTTACACAGATTAGACTATATTTACCACATGGAGAAACTGTAATAGTGGTTATGCAACAGAGAATGGATTTAACCAGAAATGTGGCTGCTTTGATTTCTGTAAGATTTAGCCATCTGTCCTGTTCCTGATGCGTTTACTACTTTTCATGTGAGGGCTCAGGCATTAACCATTGACTTAGGGGTTTTTAGCAACCTAACATAATATATTAGTGGGTCCACGAGCTTAATGGTGCACATTTTAAGATCAAAGTGTTTCAGTAGAAATATACAGTAAGGTAATTGGATTAACATTAGATCAGAGAGAGGAATGTGTGATGTCCTTGGAGATGAGTTTCTTTCAAGCTGAACAGGTTACACTTAAAATCCCATGTTGCTAAATGCTACAGCAGAAAATGTGAGCTGTAGATCAGAGACTTGATTTAGCTGCTCAGCACGGTTGTCTCTAATTTTCTGGATTACAGTCATTGTTATTGTGAGATTCTTTCACCATCTAAACCCTGCTATTCTGTCACTTTTTTACCTATGAACAAACTCTCCTCCTAACACCCCTGCAGGCCTCACTGTGTATTTTATTATTAACTAAATGCCCAGCTGGAACATTATCTTATCTGAAATCCCCCTGCTTTCACGCTATCTTACAAACTGAACTTTTATCACCTTGTACTCACAAGTGCTTCTGGAGCTTCTGATCCAATAGTTTACTGTTCATTTCATGGTTTAAGTATTAAATCCCTTATCAGCTTTTCAGTATTTATCAGTTTTTAGGGATATGAGCAACAGCTAATGTTTTTCCAGCTGAATTCTCTGAATTCTAACTTCATTTGTCCTATAACCATTTGTTTGTTTCCAACACCTAATCATTTGTTATTAAATCTTTATATATTTCTGTCTAAAATAGCCAAACGGGGGGACTTAAAGTTGTCAGTGTTACCTAATCCAGTAATAAAGAGGAGTAATAAAGTAATAAAGAGGATTCATGTACTAAATCTTGATTTGATTGCCTTAAGTGAAGAATAAAGATGATGTATGTGACGTTTTTATTATCAAAGTCCAACTCAAAACCGAGAAGCTGCTCTTGACATCCAGTGATTGAGATGATGAATTGTCACCAGGCTTCATTTAATTGACTGAGGTATTCTTGCTTGTCACAGAAGGGTTTTGTTCAGTACAGGTACAACAGTAAAGTGCAGTGTTTGCATCCTGCAGTATCACTATAAAGAGACGCTCGACAGCAGCAGAATTTGACTCCACCGTGCTCTGCTGGTTCTGTCACCAGTGAACCAAAGATAATGCTCCCTGTGTGACTGCAGTTCATTTTTATCTGTGATTTACATACTGTATATAATTAGAGTTCAAGGACATTTAAGACATCCCACCGTCATATGGATAAAGCATCATTTTCCAAAGGTTTATAGGCCTCTTGTATATTTCAGGACACAGGGGCTGGAAACTGGGGAATATAATGCTGAAAATACAGACAGTACAATTCCACATTAAAAAATATATTTGTTTTAGTGCCCATACATGAGACGTCTGAGCTCTGTCAATAATTACGACACTTCCCCAAACTGAAAAGGACAGAAAATCTCAGTTATTGTTTTAATAAATATGCAGCACAAATGTTTATTTTTATAGACCAAAGCCTTAGCAGGTGTTATCAGTGAGGCTGATGATGTTATGCTGCATTGACAGGACACTAAGAGGGTTCAATTCTCACTTTATTTTCTCTATCTATGTCCACAGGTTATGCCAATGAGGTTGGGGAGGCCTTTCGTGCTCTGGTGCCAGTGAGTCTGGTGTGGGGCAGCTATGCTGTGGCCACTGCATACGTTACTGCTGATGCTGTGGACAAAGGGAAGAAAGCAGCTGTGGTGAGATAGGACTGTTTGTGTTATTGACCCGTGTGGTCAAATATTTATTGCTGTTATAAATAAAGATTTTGTCAACATCATCCTTAATGACTGGTTCCTACAAACTCAGCTGCTACAAATGGTAGATTCATTGGATTCGAATTTTTTAGATTAATCATTCAAATTAAGAAAACATCATGTTTGGGAGCTACTGTTTCTGTAGATGAAACCTTTTTCCAAATTACTATTAAATTATTACATTAAACTGTGTATCCACTATGTTTAATTTTACAGAAAATAGATTAGTATCAAACAATCATAAATCAGGCTTCAGATCATATGAGATTGATTTATCATTTCTTATTAATAGATTCATCTTTGGGAAAAGGTTCACTTGATCTTTCAGCAGTGATCCTCTACCATTGGCTTGTTTGTTACAGATACAGTTTCAAGTGAGAGTTGTTATTTTTTCAATAGACCTGATTGCTGTAGCTGTTTCTACTCTCATTACTGATCCTCCATCTGTTCTTAAAGGCCCACGGGGAGAACCCAGGGAAGACGACACGGATAGCAGTAGCAGTGGTGGACACGTTTGTGTGGCAGGCCCTCGCCTCTGTGATCATCCCGGGCTTCACCATTAACCGAGTGTGTGCCACATCGCTCTACCTGCTGGGCAGAACCACCAGGTGGCCTCTGTCTGTCCGCAAGTGGACCACCACAGCTATCGGCCTCTCCACCATCCCCTTCATCATCACTCCTATAGACAGGTTAGCACAATTTGCGTCTGTGTTTCTGCATCTGTAGGCATAGTGTACATGGATTATGTAGGTTGATGGAAGCTTTAACTTTAAGGGTTACAGCACAACATATGTTTTAAATTTTGTTGTCATCAATGTCAGTGCAACTACTTTTGAGATATGTTTTAATTAGAGAGCTGATTCAATTAAATCTAATTTTTTTGTGACATTGCTGGAAGTTTTGTCATCACAATATTTCCACTCTGTACCCTGCAGGTCAGTGGATTTCCTGCTGGATTCGAGCCTTCGGAAAGTCTACAATGAGGGAGAGAAGCACGAATGAGGAGGGACGCTGCTGGTCCAGTGTACACAGACCTGTGCTGATTATCCACCACTGTGAAGCACTAAAGACGTGTACAGAAGGATTTCATGGAGAAAGATTTCACAGTTAGTCAAAGACACATTATAAATATATTTCTGAATTATATATATAAAAAGGTTTTAGTAGTTTAGTTGTTAAAAGTGAAATCCTGCTTTGTGAAATGTCCCTCTAGGGATCCTTAACTTTAACCTTTCAGGGCAATCTGGGTAGCAACACCAAAAAAAGGTTTAAAAAGGAACGTAACATGATGAAAAATACAGAGAGACACTACTTCTATAAAGATTCTTTAGCAGGGTCACAGTGTACGGTTATATTCCTATCGTAGTGAATACTGCCTCCGAGGTTGCCCTCAAGCAGTTTCTCTGCCTGGCAGAGCCTCACCTCATGAGATTAATTACAAACCAGCCATATTCTGTGATACTGTAACAACAGGCCAAAAAGCCAGTTTGCAATGATGTCCCTCTTTATCTTCTCCCACTATAACTTTGTTATTGTGTTCTTTTTTTCTTCTTTGTGTTATTTGGAATTGTTGTTACTTCCGATACACTTTTCCATTGTTATATTCTGCCATATTGTTGGCCTTGGGAGCCAAGATTTGCACTGGGAGCATTGTTTTACACCACGATTACAGTCCATATGATTCTATATATAGTCTATATTACACTGTATATGGTTCTACCATCAGGTAGTAATGTGCAAACCCTTAGACAATCCTGGTTTAGTAATACTGTGACATTCTGTCGTGTGAAAACATTAGAAATCCCAGATTAGTTATTTTAGATTTACTCTTACATGCACCATGACACAGTGTGGCCCAGCTGGCTTCAGATTATTGTTTGACAATATAGTGTTGAGCACACAGTTGGGTTAAATTACATCAGCGAAAAAGATTAAAGCTAGGGTTGGTAATCCTTGAAAAGGAGCGCGCCACAAAAAAAATTGAACCGATACGTCCCAGCCCCTCCCATCAGCCTCTCAAAGGCACGCTCCCAAAATAAGACTCCGGTCAGGTGCAGTGAGAGCATGGGCAGAGAGCAGGCAGGTCAGTCAGTGATAGACAAGAATGCCAGCCAATGATTTCATGTCAGAGTGAAATGAGCACTCATCTTTATTACACTTTGGCGAGGGCCACAGAAACCAGCTTTCTACATACTTCTTTATTTATTAATGGCCACCAGGACGTGAAGGGGATTTCAACAATAAGATGAAGTGTTTCAGAAACAACTTAGCAACCCTACCTTAACCCATGAGATGTTTAAGTGTCATACAAATAATCTGAATAGCTTTCTGCCTTGATGCAGAAAACTCATCTAGTATAAGCACATTATATTTAGCATTGCACTCCGTAAATGCAAATTAAAGTCTATGTAGGGGATGGTTTAAGGGGTTTCTTTAGTAATATACAGATACTGTCTGTATATGAGGCTTTTCTTTTCTTTTTCTTTGAGGAGCCAGATAATAAACTGTATCTCATGCTGAACTATGCAACGGGAAGTAAGGTATTAGTGTACATACATGAGCTTTGCAAATTAAAAGGGATTTGGTAAATCAGTTTCATGAGCTGTTGCTTCAAGACAAAAGTGAAACATATTGGGAATCACTGTTATCCATTTTCTTTTCTGTCAGTATACACCAGTGAACCATTTTAGCAATAACTTCAGTTCAATGTGTTGCACCATATTCTCTTTGCTATGAAGGATGTGGTTGTCTGTCATGGAGGGAGATTTGCTGACAGAGACGATTGTGAAAACTGGGGAGGCACAAGTTGCCATTATTTCTACATGCTGGTACTGTTCACTCTTGCAACCTATTTAATAGCATTTTATAATCACATCAGGTCACAAAGCCATTTAAACAGTGATTATGTTTTTTTATTGGCTTTTTAAGTGATTGAAACACATGTCCTCAGGGTTCCAGTGTATGTAGCGTTGGATATTATCACCCACTTGACTTTTTTCATGTGAATTTGGTTTGTCTTAGCAGAAAAAGCAAAGATATGTGTACTAAAGGCTCCAGTATCGACACCTTAAAGGTTTAGTGTGTAAGATTTAAGTGAAAGGGATCTTTTGGTAGAAATGTAATATAAAATAATCCTAATGTTGTTTTCACTAGTGTGTAAACATCTAAATCTTTACGCTAGAATGGACCCTTTATATTTAAATACTATATATTTAGGAGCAGGTCTTGTCTACCAACTGTTTACAAACTGGACAAACTAAACACCTTTGGAGTTTTAATGACAACTGAAGGCTGCCACAGGTGAGGGATGTTCAGCTGAAACATACAAGATGTCACTAAATTCTACACACTGAACCTTTAATGGATTATTGGTTATGAGTTGAACATTCGCTTTTTTCTGCTATGATATGTCAACATGTCTCCACTGAAGAAAAGCATATTGGTGCTTCCCTTGTGAAAACTCAAAATAATTTTTAACATTTCAGATTTTACTCACAACTTCACTGTATTTTTATTGTTGCGTGCTGCAAAAGAAAAAGAACGGTTTACTTTTTTTGGAACATTTAATTTTTGATGTTTTCTTATGTGGTGGTGTGTTTGAAAGTGTGTTTTTATGTGTCACATTTTCACTCTCAACTGGAAAAAAACCTCAGTTGTTTGCTGTTGTTCACAAGATGGAGATTATTTTTCGTGAAAGCTGCTGTTAAATGCTCCGTGCTTTACAGCCGACTCCAAAATATTCAGCAATCCTCGTATTCTGTAGTAACTTCTGAGACACTGGAGACAAACAACTTGTAAATCTGTCATGGAATAAATTATGTAATGACAGAAACGTCTTGATTTATGGTCTGTTTCATTAATCAGTTGGAAAACAATTTCCTGTCAAGTTTATTTCCTGTGCTCTTTATGGCATTCTTGCTGTTACAGTACAAGTGTTGACAACCTGTAAGTCAGAGCTACTTTGTAGCTTTGGGAAACCATGACTGACAGCTCCAATTTGGCAACATTTTTCTCGTCAACACTGTCTGCATGAAGCACTTCCAATAAAAACACCTCACTTGAGTGTGATTTTGAATGCAGCACAACCTCCTCTCTGTGCAGCCACAGTTTCCATCTCCCTGAGCGCCATACACCGCCACTTTAAGACGAAAGGTGTTATTCTCTGGAAGGTTAAACCAATGAAATCGAAGCACTCTAAATGTGCTCGGGCTTTGAGATCCTCCACAGTCGAGTCCAGTCATTGACCCTGATTGAGTCAGGAGGCCACAGCTGATCTCACTTCTACAGATGAGGTGCCCACATAAGAGAAAGGAAAGACATCCATCAGTGGGTACAGTCATGTTTGTGCTTAACCTTGTGTTCTTGGCTCTTCTGGCTGCATCATCTGGTCAGTCAGGTAAGTAAAAACTTTGTGTGATGTTTATCTTGTGTTAGATTAAGGTTTGATCATTGTGGATGAGTTTTATTTGAGAGAATCTTGCTTAATACCCAGCACATGTTTCCCTTTGTCTGATCCTCCTGCCATTTAAACGTTTCCAGGTGTTCCTCGATACATCCCAGGCGAATGGATTATCTCTGATGAGTTTCTTCAGAATGACGACGCAGATGTAAAGTCTCTGTCAGTGGAGGAGAGTTTATGGCCTGACCTCCTATCTGGAGTGGCTGACAACATGCTGTTGGAGGACCACTCCTTGCTAGCTACTCCAGAGCCACATGCTGTTGAGGAACAAGGTGGGCATCATGCTTGATCGGATCATGAATTATACTCATTAACTACCCACACTGAGCACTGTTTTGTTTTCTTGTTAGCCTCAGACGAAAAAGAGTCAGCAATGTGGAAAATCCTCTTGGTGGTCACCATCCTGCTGGTGTCCATTGTGGGATGTCTCAGCATGGTCTACTACATGTGTGTCTGGAGAGGAGGCAGGATTCACTACCAGCCTCAGAAACAGCTCTATGCCTAAATACAAATAAAAGTGAACTTTGTGTAGAAGTCAGCTTCAAAGAGTCTAATTTCTCAACTTATTTCCTCCACCAAGGTTATGTTCTCACCATTGTCGTTAAACAGAATGACACAAACTATTGGGTGGGTTACTACGAAACTTGAGGGTTGTGGTATGGCTCAGGAAAGACTGCATTAAAGACTTGCTGTGGACCTGGATCAGGGGGGAATTAGACCTGCTTAAACAGACAGACTTTGTCAAATACACATTGATTTCCTACTTAAAGTTTCTGTCAAAAAATGCTTTTATGACGAGCTTTAATTTGGATAAGAAAGATATGTGTTCATGTTCTCTGTTTAGTAGTTGTGTATAAAATAAGTTATACTATACCTATGGTATGTTTAAAAAATATATATATATATATTTAGGTTTATTGCATGATTTGGCAAACATGGCATTTAAATTTGCCCTTTGTCATCAATGCATATAAACTCTGCAATGTGAAGCTCTTCTGCTGCACAGTATGAGTATAGTGGTTCATCATACTCATGGATCAAGCTGCTCTGAAGGCCTTGAGCTTGATGCTCTGTAAAACCAAATGTACATGTTTTCCATTAAAGGTTATAAGAGGCGGGTGTTGCTTTAGTTTGATCAACACAATGGAATAACTTTTAGTCAGTTACTGTAATGGCCACTAGAGGTCGTCCTTAACATGGCGTTTGTGCCATGCTCCACATTTCCAGCACTTCAGCTCTGCTCAGTTGTGAGCCTGATATTACACTGTACAGCAGTGTTACCAGTAAATTCACTGACTCACTCATTGATGGGTGATTGATTGCCAATATGACAATCACTCAAACGTCTGGCTCCAGCTCATTCGTGTGTTTTAAAAAAAAAAAAAAAAAATCATATTTAAGTGTCCCTTTAATCATTTAAGATAATGAGTGGATCTCTGGCCTCAGTAATATTATTGCAATGTTTGTGTAGAGTTAAGAAACAGCACCTTCTTTTGTTAGAGATGAGCTGCCCAAACTTGTTGAGCATATAGGCTGTTTATAATAACATGCCTGAAGGTAGTTTACATCATGACTTGATACATTCTTTCAGTGAGGAATCAGCTTTTTCATTCAAACACTTACAGGACCTGTTCTGAGTCGTCCTCACTTTACAAAGGAAAGGATGTGTTTTTGCTGCCTTCAGCAAACATTTTCCTCTTCATAAGACGTCATCTTCATCAGAATCATGGCATAGCCGCCAGACTGCTGGCGAAACCGGTGCCTACTGTAAAGAGTAATGTTTTAATTTCAGAGTCAAGCAAGCGGGCTCGGATCAACCCACAAACATTTATAAGTCCCCCTCGAGCAATATCAGGTGGCATTAGGGGGCCCAAGGAGACAAAAAGCTGATGAATTGAATTAATCTCCCCTCCCATGATGGATGGGCCTGTTCACAGGGGGTTGGAAAATGGGAGCATTGTTCATCTGTCACTCCGATTGCCATGTCCCTCTATGATTTGTGCCCGGGTTGTGAAGGCCACAAGTGGCCAAAAGACCTCCCTCTCTCCTTCTCACTTGTCTCAGTGTTTTTTTTTTTCCAGGAATTCCCAGCCTTTGAATTGCTCCCACCCCCACAGACCTCACTGGTATCCATACAGCCAGATGCAGAAAAACAAGCCCTCACTGAGGAGGAGCAAACACAAATGACTGTCACTTGTGGTTTATCTACAGTTTGAGCTGCATGGCAACTTTCAGTGTTTGCATTTCGGATAGACTTTAGAGTTGAATCCTGTTTTATATCCACACAAGTGCATGTAGGCTTATAGGCTTTTATGTAAACCACTGGGCATACACTGCAACTCAACTGTTGACGAAGAGTGTGATTACTAATAAAATAAAACTGCTTATATATTTGCTCTAACACATATAAAATGGAATTATGTTTTCTGTCCATAAGTTAACACAAATTTGCATTTTAACTATAATGTTAATACGTTTATTCAATAAAAGGTGAATCAAAAGAAAAAAGTATAGTTCGAGGCACTATTGAAATAATTTGAGCTTATGTGTTATTCTGTTCCATTTGATTGTGACCCCAGAACACAGAAGAGAGTCATGACTTTCTTAAATTTATTTTCACAGTGTCAGCTGTAATCCTCTTTTCTTTTACTGTCAGGTCCATATAAGTACAAAGCGGCTCAGCTTGGTTTTTTAAATAGACCTCTCACTTGAGTTGCCTTGTTTGGGCTCAATTCTCTCAAATATTATTTCATTTAACATTGTGTATTCAGTCATAGATTAACATGTGAACCCTTTTCGCAGCCGAACATTTAATAATAACAAACAAACTGTAATCCAGTGTTGGCAACGAGGGCCGCTCCAATTTATGATGATTTTTTTTTCTGTGTCTGCTTAAAGATACAGAAAATAAACCTGTAAATTGAAGGGGGTATCATCTTGCTGCTTCTCATTCTTTGGTCTCAAGCACCTGTTCCTTTAAATACACCTGACCAACTAAAGGAACCGCTGCCAAATGTCGATTCAGTAGGAACACCACTCTGTCACTCAGTAACGTAAAGTGCATACCTTCACCAAGGCCCAACAGTCCCCTGACAAAACCCTATTTAAATTCACTAAATCCAGATTTTTATTTGGAGCAAATTGCACATAAATATCAGTCCCCTAATCATGCCTGATTTTATTGTTCAAGATCCATGAATTATTCTCTAAGAAGTCAAGGAAAATGTTGAAACATTTAATATCTAGTGACGTTAACAACAGTGAAAATTCACCTCATCCCTTCACAAAATTTAGTGATTTAATTCTGGTGTTTTTGCGTAATCCTGCTTACACTCTAACAAAGAAATGAAAACACAACCTCCTTGGTGGAGAATGGCTTCTTCATTGCTTTTGTGCTGGGTGTGGAGTCCAAGATCTACTTAGCTACTCCACTACTCTACTTAACTTAGAACGTGCTGCACGAGAGAGGAGGAAACTGGAGGTGACTTTGTGAAAGGTACGGCAGGTGAATAGGAGAAAAGCAAGTGTCCCTGGTGAATACTGTCTGTGTGAGGGCTGCACACCAGACTGATGTGGGCCACAGATGCAGAGGTCCTCTGGGCCTGAGGTGCATGCTGGGATAGAATCCATCACTTCCCACCAATCAGTAACTTGACTTCCCACGAGTAAAATCCCCAAAACTTCCGCAGTTGATTTATAAACGTGTGAGTTCCTGTTATATGTTTTTGTCATAACATCAGATGGCAGACTGAACAACCTCCCCGTAATCTAACTGAAATGATCAGAATCTGTCATTAGCAACGGTCAAAGAGCTATAATGTGATTAATGTTATTATAGTGATAGTGGGGACTAAACTGCTTTCTGTCTTTTTCTCTCTCTCGCTCTCTCTCTCTCTCACACATACACATTTACAGACACGCACTCCCTCCTTCATGAGGGACTATGTCTGTGGAAAGGCCACTTTAAGGGCACTAACAGAAATGTTTAATGCTCACCGGTCGATTTATTGAGGTCAGCACGAGGCTACGTTTTGAAAGAACAGACGAGCGGGGCTATGTTTAGATTGATTTTCATGAATGGTTTTATGCTGTGAGCAAGAGCAGAAACAAAAGACAATCGTGGCACATCAAATCACACCGCAAAAGAAACAAGGCAAGGAAACAAAAAACGAGAAAAAATGAAGGGCAAAGCTGGAGCTGTGTCACTGAGCATTAGACTAATAAATATCAGTTTCTGTCTCCGAGACATGAAAACAAAGAGCATGGAGAATTCTGCTGGATTATTCTCTGATGTTGAGTTGATCAAGCTCTTTACTGTTGACAGGGAGTAAAATTAGCACATAATTGGTGTTGTACAGTTAGAGATT